GCAGCGAGGCGGAGCGAGGCGGCAGCGAGGCGGCAGCGAGGCGGCAGCGAGGCGGCAGCGAGGCGGCAGCGAGGCGGCAGCGAGGCGGCAGCGAGGCGGCAGCGAGGCGGCAGCGAGGCGGCAGCGAGGCGGCAGCGAGGCGGCAGCGAGGCGGCAGCAGCTCAATGGTGCTGACAGAGGAGAGGCAGAGCGCGGCTTCTCACACGACAACAGATCATGTTTATTATAAATCACCTCAAACACTTATTATTTTAAGATACTTGCATATTTGATAATTGATTGAACTGTGCAGGTGTTTTCTGAAGCTCCAGAGGAAAGATAAATATAAATGAAATCAAGTTTTATGTATAAAGCACATTTAGAGGCGATGTTTGGCCAAAGTGCTGAACATGCAAAACACTACGATCACAAGAAAAGACAACATTTACATTTTACAAGATTATTCTGTTTTATTATCATTTTGTCTTTTTCTAAATGTTGCTTTTAAAATGATATATGACCTTATTATAGGTTTATTGTCTTTGGATAAATGGTGACCACTAGAAAGAGTTAGTGCGTATTCAACTGGTTTCTTCTTCATTGCATTTCAGGCTCATTTTTGGTCCGAACAAATAAATAAAAAATGATTTTCAAATAATTTTACAGGAAAATTACATATTTAATAAATACTAATAATACTGTTATTAATTATTTAAGGTATTAGCTTTTTAATATATTTTTAATTAAATCATTTTAATAAGATTATAAAATAATAAATAATAAATATAATAATAATAATAATAATACAAACCAATATATAAAAAAAAAGTATATTGCAATAATAAATAATAATAACCTTCGTTCGACCTTCACATTTTAAAATGAAATAAAGTATAATATACTTAATTAAAACTACAATAAAAACATTTAAATAATAATAATGATAACCTTCGTTCGGCCTCCATCCAAAGTAATTGAAGCCGTTTCGCAGCGTTTCGGGTCACATGACCTCTGACCTGCCTCTGACAGGAGACCCCTGCGGAGGAAGAGACAATCAAACAAACAGAAGAAGAAGAAGCTTTTGTTTCTAACGAGGAACAAAAAAAAAATACGAACAAAGGTCGAGAAGAAGAAGAAGAAGAAGTGTTGACGGCACGCTGTCGTCTGATTGGTCGACGGATGACCCTCCGCCTGTCAATCATCCCCTCGGAGAAAGGAGGCATTGTCTTTGTGAACTCTGTGTGTGTGTGTGTGTGTGTGTGTGTGTGTGTGTGTGTGTGTGTGTGTGTGTGGTGTGTGTGTGTGTGTGTGTGTGTGTGTGTGTGTGTGTGTGTGTGTGTGTGTGTGTGTGTGTGTGTGTGTGTGTGTGATGACTGATTGATAATGAATAGCGAGGCGTCGTCTGCATAATGACGGTGTGTTTCTTGTGTTTCTCGTCAGGTAATTTGTGAGAAGATTTTCCGGCCGTGGTTTTCCCCGACGCTCCTCGGAGCAAAAGCCGGCCTCCCTCTGCAGGTCATTAATGAAACAATATATTATATATTATCTCCTGTATTCAGACTGATCTCAAATATGCTTTTGTTATTTAAACAACAACTCTGTGTTTTAAAATGTGTTATGTATTATGTATTCTTTATTCAAAGTTAGTTTTAATTACCTACTGTATTTACATTCATCCTAAATTATAAACTTTTATTATTTAACCAATATTTCTGTTAATTATCTTATTTTTAAATGAAGGATTTTAATATTAAACTTCCCAAAAAAAATACTGATTTGATCACTTTTATAACAAAAAGACCGGATTGTTCGAGCCCTAAAAGAGAAATGCAGGTAAAGGTCAAAAGAAAGCAACATGTGGGAATAAATCACAGCATATGATTATATTATTATATTATGATGTCATTAAGAGTCGATCAATATGACTCTGAATGACATCATATGGATTGAATTCACCTTGATAGCTCCATGTGTTTCTCTGACAGGTGGAGCTGCAGCGGGCGGTGCAGGAATGTTCAGAGACTGATGGAGGTGAGGAAGAGGAAAGAAGAAGAGGAGACATCCATCAGCGTCTCCTCCTCATCCTCAACCGTCTGCTGGAGGAAGGAGGAGGGTCATCAGAGAGAGGAGGAGGAGGAGGAGGAAATGAGGATGAAGATCACGTCCACACGGCGCTCAACTTCTGAGGAGGAGGTGAAGCGTAACGTCAGATCAGGAGGAAGACATCTCCAAAAACAGGCAGGAAACGGAGGGAATCGTCCCAAAAAAGTAGTCCCTCACAGAGGACACACTGACGCTAATTTACACAGGTGCTGACGGGGATATGGATCATGTTTCAGATTCAGAGCCGTAAGAGAAATCAATCAATCAGCTCCGTAAAAGAACCAGAAACAGATCGAGATTCCTGACGAAGAGGACGAAGATACTCTGACGGAACATTTCTGTGAATTATTTACAGGGATTTTTTTGCAAAACAAACTGGAATGTTTGGAATAAAAAGACCCTCATGGAGGAAACACGGACGTTTGTTGATGGGAAATATGGATCACAAGAGAAAGGTGTCAATCAGCTCCAAAAAGGACCAGGAACAGGTACAGATACCTGGAAAAGTAGACCCTCGTGAAGGAAACACGGACGTTTGTTGACATTGGTGTTGATGGGAAATATGGATCATGTTTCAGATTTAGAGCCGTAAGAGAAATCAATCAGCTCCAAAAAGAACCAGAAACAGATCGAGATACCTGACGAAGAGGAGGAAGATATGGCACTCTGTTGGGAGGTTTTCCAACAAAAACATGCAGCGAATCATCCCGGAAAAATAGACCCCTCGTGAAGGAAACACACACGTACATTTAAACCGGTGTTGATGGGAAATATGGATCATGTTTCAGATCCAAAACGGACCAGAAACAGATCGAGATTCCTCACAAATATAGAGCATTTCTGTGAATTATTTACATTCTTTGGCAAAACATGCAGGAAGTAGCAGCTGTTTAACTGGAATACAAAGACCCTCATGGAGGAAACACAGACGTTTGTTTATCCAGGTGTTGACGGGAAATATGGATCGATTTGTAGGTGCAGAGACGCAAGAAAAAAGGTGTCATTATCAGCTCCAAAAAGGACCACAGATTAAGATTCCTGACAAATAGGACGAAGAAATAGCTTCCTTTTGGGGAGGGGCTTGCACCAAAAACCCACAGGAATCAAGGTGGAAAAGTAGACCCTCACGGAGGAAACACGGACGCTGGTGTTGATGTGAAATATGGATCATTTCCCAGGGTTGAGGCACCAAGAAGAGGCTCCGGAAAGATCAGAAACAGATTCCTGAGAAATCTGGACCTTTTTTGGGATAATTTATTGACGTCGTGCGACACCAGTTTGTGCGACACCAGTTTGTGCGACACCAGTTTGTGCGACACCAGTTTGTGCAACACCAGTTTGTGCGACACCAGTTTGTGCGACACCAGTTTGTGCGACACCAGTTTGTGCGACACCAGTTTGTGCGACACCAGTTCGTGCGACACCAGTTTGTGCGACACCAGTTTGTGCGACACCAGTTTGTGCGACACCAGTTCGTGCGACACCAGTTCGTGCGACACCAGTTCGTGCGACACCAGTTCGTGCGATGAGATGCAGGTTTAGCTTCGTCTGACAAACAGTTTTCTTTGCTCTGTGTTGATGTGTGAGGCGTGGTTGCTCTCGTGCTGCATGGACACACTGATCACGTACACATCGATGCTTCCTGTGATAACTGGATTTGAACAGCATTTTGGTGATTTCTGCAGAAATGTTGAAATGCTTCCATTTCTCTCAGATTGATGCTTCTCTGTAAATAGATCATAATGATATGTACAGTGGAGCTCAGTTGATTCATAAAGTGTGTTCAGCTGCTCAGCGGCGCGTGTGTGTCTCTTCTTCATCGGACAAGAAATGAATAAAACATTTGCATTAAATTCAATAAAAACAAATATAAAAACAGAAGAAGTTAAGTTAATAATTTGCATAAAGAAATGAAGAAATAATAGAAATATTGATATAAAACAGTAAGAATTTAGAAAAACACAAGGATTTAAATTGAATAGAATAAAAACATTGGAATAAACAAAGTTACAGTAAAGTTTCCATGAAGTTATAAAAGACTGATATAAAACAGAAGAAGTAGAAATGTGAACATTAATATTAAAGCTGAGAGATAAGATGAGAGGAGTTCACACACACACACACACACACACACACACACACACACACACACACACACACACACACACACACCACACACACACACACACACACACACACACACACACACACACACACACACACACACACACACACATGTGTATGTGCATATTATTCTTCAATCAAAAGGAGAATTCATTTATATTTTTTGTGCTTTTCTCCAGTTTGTCTGTGTTTGGTTTGAACTGTCCTCAGACTGAGTTTCCTGGAGAGTTCCACAAAACAAACAGATTAACGTCCGACTTCTTCTTCTCTCACTGCTCCCAGCTCCTCTCTGAAACAGAAACACACAGCTGGGCATCATCAGGACATTAAAACGAGCCCAGAAACCTGAGACGAGACTTCTGGGTATTTGAGTTCTTTAACCGTGAGCTCATGACTCTGCAGCTGCTGCTGATTTACTGTGTGTGTGTGTGTGTGTGTGTGTGTGTGTGTGTGTGTGTGTGTGTGTGTGTGTGTGTGTGTGTGTGTGTGTGTGTGTGTGTGTGTGTGTGTGTGTGTGTGTGTGTGTGTGTGTGTGTGTGTGTGTGTGTGTGTGTGTGTGTGTGTGGTGTGTGTGTGTGTGTGTGTGTGTGTGTGTGTGTGTGTGTGTGTGTGTCTCGTGGCTCCTGCAGACGCTGCTGGAAACTTTTGAAATAAATAATCAGCTGCAGATGAAAAATAAAACTTCCTTTTGATTCAGGCCAAACTTTGGTTTTTATTTCCAAAGCAATGACTTCAATTTCGGGCCCTGCGTCTTTAAAATACCCTAAAAATAATATCTAAATATGATTTATTTATATTTATATGAATATTCCTCTTATTATTATGCCTTTCTATGATCTCACATTTTAACCTCTTAAGCCCTGAGCCTGTTTTTCAGGTCTCAGGCTCTAAATGACATTCCCAGAACAAATGACCATATCTTCTAAAAGGGTTAAATTAATAATCTTTATTCTCAAAGTAATGATAAACCTGTGAGTTGGATGTAGAAAAGTCAGAATCAATATAGATGTTTTTTATTTTAAAGATAATTCAGATTGAACATAGTAAAAAACTGTAAATTATAGTGTCCGTCCAAAGATTCTTTTTTACAGATAGTGAAAACTACCCTTGGATGATGGGTTAGTAGACTAAAAGCTTTAGGAATCCAAAGTACAACATATAATAAGTACCCTGTATCAAGATTGATGCAAAACAAGTGACATTTGACCTTTTTAGAGAGATTTAGCCAAAACCACCTCTGAGGTGATTTGGGTGAAAATGGGGAGTTTTACCGTTTCTCTGGAACCCATTGGTCGATTTTGGTGATTGACATCTCTTTCTGACCGTTAGAGCCAATAGAATCGATCAGATCCTTTATCTACAGCAGAGTCTTTAGAGAGACATAACTTCTGCAGAACATCACATAACTTCTGTAGACTTTACGATAGCTGTAAATGGTGTTTCTGTGAGACTCAGCTTGTGTTCATGCGTCTTTACGGCACATTTTAAAGTCCTGGAGTCGATCACTGCAGCTCCACTAACACAGAGGAACGTTAATAAACAAGTTTGCACTAAGAAACGGGCCCTGAAGTAGAAAAGATGACCCCAGAGTCTCCAGTTTCCTTTGCTTCATGCCCAGGGAACATATCTTATTTAATGTAGACTTGAGGCTTGGCGTGTTTGCAGCCCTGCACAAAAACCATCATTTCAACTCATTGCCCAGGACCCATGCTGAGAAAGATGATCAAGATGAGACTCCAGGAACCTTTCTAAGTCAGAGGAGATATATATAACTTCTGTGTGTTCTGCGTCTATGATATAATACTCAGAAACCCCCAAAAGGAGGCACTCCCTCCCTCCTGGTTTCTAAACTCCCCACATTTTCTCTGAAGCTTCACACAAATCCCCCTGAGGAGCTGTCGCTGGAAACTGTTTCAAGAAATCCTTGGATGAACCGTCTGTCAGTGCAACTTCAGCCAAAGCCTGCTCTTGTTTCCAGAGAGGAGAGCCTGAAGCTTCTGAAGCTTCTCCACGTTTTGTGACACCTCAACCCATCCTGAGCTGCTGTTATCTGCTTCAAAATGCATTACTTTTCATATGAAATTGCAGGAAATCCAGCGTACGTGCAAGAGTCTAAGACGAAGCCTGTCATGCATTAAGGTCATTTGTTCGTCATGCATCCATTTCCTCGACTCTCACCCGTCATGCAAACAGGAAAGCTTTCATTTCTGCATTGACTGGGCTCATGAACCAATTCCTGCAAAATAATGTGACTGCAGCTCGACTAACACAGAGGCGAGTTGATAAACAAGTTGGACCCAGAGATGCGTCCTGCAGTAGGGAAAGATGAGTCTCCACTTTCCCTTGCTTCATTCACAGAAAATATCCAATAAATGGCGGAAATGTTTGCTTGCACATAAGTTCATGTAAAGCTTCCAAACACTTATACTAAAAATCCTCAATTTCAGGCGGACTATAGAATCATTCAGGCCCTATTTCCCATTAAAGAAAAACTTGCAGAGCACGAAAGGTGCTGGTTCACTTCTGCCTCGATCGGTTCGTTTTTTGTATATTTTGTGGACTTTAAAGTCTCCTGGAGACAAAGAAACACCGTGTTCTTCAAAGTGAAATGACTGTTTCTCTCGGGGCTTTAAGAGAGGACAGACACCAGCTTTAGTTCTTGTTAGAAACTCTGTCTGGTTTTCTTAGGAGTCTAAAAGTTCCACAGAGGAAGCACCTGATGTACCCTCACTCTCAATCCTCCCTCTAATTTATCCCGCTGTAATTAATTGGCTTCGGTTCGTTCACAGTTTGCTCCAATTAAAGAGGACGAGATAAAAGGAGATTAAAACTCAGAAAAGTCATTTCAAACACCTTGAATCTGAACTCTGGGAAACAAACTCAGAGACTCTAGAGGGTCACACACACACACACACACACACACACACACACACACACACACACACACACACACACACACACACACACACACACACACACCTCTCTCCTGGATCAGCTTCCTGCCATCTGGCTGCAGTTTTTGCTGCTTCTCTGATCACAGAGCAGCACACTTCAAAGAGTGTGTGTGTGTGTGTGTGTGTGTGTGTGTGTGTGTGTGTGTGTGTGTGTGTGTGTGTGTGTGTGTGTGTGTGTGTGTCATTCACCTGAAATGTAAGCTCTCAGTTTCAAGTTCCCAACATCTGCCGCTCCGAGGAAACGTCAAAACATCCTCAGAGACTCAAAACAGACGTTTATCATTATTTGGAGAAACTAAGTCATGAATTAGAGGTTTTAAGTCTTTATTTAGAGATACTAAGTCTTTATTTAGAGATACTAAGTCTTTATTTAGAGGTTTTAAGTCTTTATTTAGAGATACTAAGTCTTTATTTAGAGACACTAAGTCTTTATTTAGAGATACTAAGTCTTTATTTAGAGGTTTTAAGTCTTTATTTAGAGATACTAAGTCTTTATTTAGAGACACTAAGTCTTTATTTAGAGATACTAAGTCTTTATTTAGAGGTTTTAAGTCTTTATTTAGAGATACTAAGTCTTTATTTAGAGACACTAAGTCTTTATTTAGAGATACTAAGTCTTTATTTAGAGGTTTTAAGTCTTTATTTAGAGATACTAAGTCTTTATTTAGAGACACTAAGTCTTTATTTAGAGGTTTTAAGTCTTTATTTAGAGACACTAAGTCTTTATTTAGAGATATTAAGTCTTTATTTAGAGACACTAAGTCTTTATTTAGAGGTTTTAAGTCTTTATTTAGAGACACTAAGTCTTTATTTAGAGATATTAAGTCTTTATTTAGAGACACTAAGTCTTTATTTAGAGGTTTTAAGTCTTTATTTAGAGATACTAAGTCTTTATTTAGAGATACTAAGTCTTTATTTAGAGATATTAAGTCTTTATTTAGAGATATTAAGTCTTTATTTAGAGATACTAAGTCTTTATTTAGAGACACTAAGTCTTTATTTAGAGATATTAAGTCTTTATTTAGAGATATTAAGTCTTTATTTAGAGACACTAAGTCTTTATTTAGAGATATTAAGTCTTTATTTAGAGACACTAAGTCTTTATTTAGAGACACTAAGTATTTATTTAGAGACACTAAGTCTTTATTTAGAGACACTAAGTCTTTATTTAGAGACACTAAGTCTTTATTTAGAGATATTAAGTCTTTATTTAGAGACACTAAGTCTTTATTTAGAGACACTAAGTATTTATTTAGAGACACTAAGTCTTTATTTAGAGACACTAAGTCTTTATTTAGAGATACTAAGTCTTTATTTAGAGATATTAAGTCTTTATTTAGAGATATTAAGTCTTTATTTAGAGACACTAAGTCTTTATTTAGAGATACTAAGTCTTTATTTAGAGACACTAAGTCTTTATTTAGAGACACTAAGTCTTTATTTAGAGATATTAAGTCTTTATTTAGAGACACTAAGTCTTTATTTAGAGACACTAAGTATTTATTTAGAGACACTAAGTCTTTATTTAGAGACACTAAGTCTTTATTTAGAGATACTAAGTCTTTATTTAGAGATATTAAGTCTTTATTTAGAGACACTAAGTCTTTATTTAGAGATACTAAGTCTTTATTTAGAGACACTAAGTCTTTATTTAGAAGTTTAAGTCCTTATTTAGAGACACTAAGTCTTTATTTAGAAGTTTTAAGTCCTTATTTAGAGATACTAAGTCTTTATTTAGAGATATTAAGTCTTTATTTAGAGACACTAAGTCTTTATTTAGAGATATTAAGTCTTTATTTAGAGACA